AAAAAAAGGGCACGGAAGAAACAGTATAAGAGGATGATAGATTAATGGTTCATACACAAGGAATTTAAAGGTCATGTTGTTTTAAGATCCTATACACATCTGCTGTCATGGAATACACAGAACAAGCCAATAAAAGAAAACTGACACATGGTGTGGTTTATGCATGCAGCATCTTCAAAGCGGGCATCAGAATTTTAATGCTTCTAGTATTTTATGTTAAGTTGTTGAAAAATAAGTATCTTCGAAGTTCTACAAATATAATAAACAAGCAAACAAGTTAGACGGTTTTGATGTATGGAAAATCTGTAAAAACCTCGCACTCTTGTTTTCTTTACGAAGAGGGATGATAGTTTTTTTAATTTGTATTAAAGCACTACAATTTCTAATTCTTGCAAGGATATTTGAAGTCTCGTTAGGCCAAGAGCTAATATAATAATTTGTTTTTTTATCATTATCCATGATACTCCTCTAGACTCCCAAACATGTGATTTCTTTGCTGGCCAGAACTTACAAGCTAGCTGTCAACTAAGCCATCACATTTGCAACCTTTTGTGCTAGCTAAAATTGTCTGACACACCTACCAATTTGAGACCTCCCACAATCAGGGCCCTAATGACAAAAGCACAAACCTAAAACAAGCAACCTCAAAAGTCATCAGACCGTGAACACGTTGACTATATTCAAACAATCATTTATTAGATTAACAAACAAAGCTGGGTGTTTGTCGATCACAGTTGGTCGTTAGTCGACCAACTTATAGTTAATCAAAAGGTGGCCAACAATCTTTGCTTTACTATCTTTATTATTGGTCGAATACAATAGACTAGCATTGGATCACATTTCTAGATTGCGCCCAAATTAGTGCAACACAAGTAAAATTGCATGGCTGGTTAACAACTGAGGAACCATGTCTGCTTTAAAACCTCACAGGTGATCAGGAAAACGTGTTTGATTCGGGAATCCAAGCAGCTATGTCTGGGTCGCCAGTAACCTAAAAGTGACTTGTGTTAGGTTAAGTCAACTCGAAGTTGGATCAAAGTTGGCTTAATGCACCGGTGATCTAATCCATTGCAACGCTTAAGGTTAAAGCTTATGAGAATAAATAACTTAAGCATTTTATTTGATGTTAGACTAAACACAATACTCTTATGTGCCTTAATAATCTCCTCCTCATATGACTCTTGATCCAAACCAAACCATCTAACTATTATATCACTTATTAGAAAGTATGAAACCAAGTGTAGTTAAATTTGGGTATAAACCAAATGGCTCATATACCAGGGGCAGAATCCCCTTTAGCTTAGTCGGGTAATTGCGTTCCCCCCCCCCCCTAAAAAAATAAAAAAGATCTTTATTATATGATTCTTTAGGTAATTTGGCCCCATCTATCTATTTTTTGTCCAACTTGGACCCCCGAAATATCTGCGAAGCGTATAACGATCAAGGATATGAACAAATAGGAGTCAAATTAAATTTGTATCTATTTTTTTGGTTGACTGTTTTCTTTTTGTCTCTATTTTTTTATCGTCATTGACCCATTTTCTTGTAGTGAAGTGTCAAGCCAAATTCGACGCAACATCAACAGTTACTTATAAGTTGGTCCCCCTAAAAATTAAGGCTGATTCCGCCCCTGAATCATGCCCATTTTCAATATAAAACTTGAACTTAAAAGAGAAAGCTAATCGCATATGTATTTGTAAACCAACATAATTTTCACCTATTTGATGTGGTCTAAATTAATATTGTCAAGGCTTTGACAAGAAACAACTTTCTTGGTTAGTTTGTGGGTTAGCTGCAACCCCGTCCATGGTCATGAGCTCATAAAAACTTGATCACAGTTGTAGGGCTTAGGTATTGACGAGGGTCTGCTAGCCTTGGATGATGAGAATGGTTGGTGAGGGCAATCTTTTTTCTTCCATGTTTTGGCCAAAGGTCCATTAGGCGTATGTTTTACAAAAGTTAAAGACAACATTAAGGCACAATTGTTGGCGTGCGTGCTACTTGCCAGCTTTTCAAAATTTCTTGTGGTCCAATATCAGCTTTCTAACTAGTTTTGGAAGATAGCATGTGCCTTCACAGAGGTGACAATTAACTTTCACAATTTTTACATCTCGAAAATAACATTGAAAATTTATCCAAGTTAACATCAATTTTATATTCTCTTCTTAAAGAAGCCCTTGTTCCACTCATCTCATTTAGTCGCCCACATCGTTGAGATCTCTTCTACTACTATTCTCTCCAATGAAACCAATTCAAAAAAAAAATTTGATAAGCATCATTTTGGCATTCTGTTATTAATTATATTTTCTTCTTATACTCAGTTCTTGATTGGTTTGATACTCTTCACTCTTGACCAAACATATTTTAAGAAATTTGTGTAAGAGATTTTTTTGAGTTTGACCCACATGTAGTGGAGTCAAGAAGTCTTTTTAACAGAACACATAAATTAATTTTATTATTTAGATGGGGCATATATATAATCTTTACTATTGAAAATGTGGAAGTTTATTATTAATATATATCTGTTATATATAAAAACATTAAAAATTTTGGCGTATGTCCACTTCCTCTCACAAATAGGATTCCTTCTTTCAGGCCTTTGGTTTTGGAGAGATTATTATGTGCGGAGTCCGGACTTGAGAACTGTCCAGATTTTGTGAGTGTACATAGTAAAAATATAGTAAAAGTGCAGTGTGCACAGTAATTGCACTTTTATTGCGCACACTCACAGAATTTGGACGCAGCTCCGATCCAGACCCCACACTTAATAATCTCTCTTGGTTTGTGTTCATGGAGTATGTATTTCGATTTTGTATTGTTTCTACTAATATTCTAGAATAGTGTGAAGTAGACTATGCTAAGTATTACATCAATTGGTGCCTTCTTCATCTAAATTTGGTTACGTTTGTGATTTTAAAGGAGCCTTGTAAATTATTCAAATTTTAAGGTGAAATTCACCGAAAAAAAAAAACGTAGAACGACATGGGGTTCATCTGATATTCAACAACTCATATTCCAATTTATGAACATCACATGAACAGACGAATTTCTCAAACCTCCGAAGCAGTTTTAACCACAGCAGCTTTCAAAATGAACCACCAAAAATGATGCATTTAGATTTTTGCATTATTTTTGTTATGAACAATATTAGTTATATTTTCTATTTTTGTTTTATTTTTATGCTATCCAATGATGGTGGTAAATCCAATGATCATGGTAGGAAAAGGTTTGGGTTATGCTTACCTTGGGTTTGCTGGCTTTGGGGTCCATCTTGTCCTTTGAGTTGTTTGTTGGTTTCATGTGGGCCTTGGCTGTTTTCGGTTTAAGCTTTAGTTGTTGAAATTCTAGTGGTGCCAGCTCATTAATATCTAGTGGAGGTGTAGCTCATTATGAGCTGATATTTAGCTCTGAAATTATAGAAGTATGCATTTTAGAATAGTGTGAAGTAGACTATGCTAAGTATTAGATCAATTGGTGCCTTGTTCATCTAAATTTGGTTAGGTTTGTGATTTTATAGGTTTGTGATTTTAAATATTCTAATTCAAGAAACATGGGGTTCATTTGATAGATACAACAACTCAGGCTTCGTTTGAGACAGCTTTCTTACTGCTTTATAAAATGGCTTTCTAGTACAAAATATTCTAATTCAAGAAACTTTTATACTAAAAAGTTGTTTAAGAAAATAGCAAAAAAACTATCCCAAACGAAACCTTAGTTTCCTATTTATGAGCAGCACATGAACAATCTCAAACATCAGAAGTAGCTTTAGCCACAACAGCTTTCAAAAGGAACTACCGAAAATAATTTGGCAACTAACATCATCAGCAAAAAAAATCAACCCAAACGGGCCCTAAGAAATTTAGTTTGTGGATGTTTGAAGAGGGCAGTTTTAAGAAATAATAAAGAGCAGAAACCCTTAAATTATCACATAAGCTTATTAAATAATTATTTTATTAGTCAAATTAAATAAAAATAATATTAATTCTTAATATCTTTTAACTTATTGATATTAATCATTAATGATGATTTAATTTTGCAAATTAATAAATCTATCTCTAATTTATTTAATTGAATATTAATAATTTGAATTAGTAATTTTATAAATTTTTATTATATTAATTAACTTATAATTAACATAACATAATAGTTTAATTAATCATTAAATATAATAAACTTTATGATACAATTTTATGAATAGAAAATTTATATTTGATTAGATTTATAAATTCTTAATAATAAATTATTTAAGTTAAATAATTATCATTCTTCTTAAAACTAAATTCCAAAATTTGTAATCATAAATTTATTGCAGCACACCTAAAACTCGAAGCCCTCGTCTTTCTCCCCCCCTTCCTATCTTACCCGAAACCCTAGATGAAAGGGAAAGGAGGAAAGGAAGTCGCAACGGGAGCTCGCTGAAAAAGGCAACTAAGGTATCGCGGCGGTGTTGTGGTGCGGTGAGGATTCGCTTGTTTTTTTTTTCCTCCTCTAAATCCCTTAGTAAACCCGAGATTTACAGAAAAACAGAGGTCAAACGGGATATGAAAAAAAACCTATAAATTGTTTTGGCCATTCAGACCGTTTGGCAGGATTTATCGTAAATCCTGCTACTAAACAGACAGCACCTAAGTGCCCTTATTTGGAAAAGGGTTAAGGGTAGTAATCTGAAGTAGCTATTAAATAACGGACTTGATGCTGAAAGGTCAAGAAGCATTGCGCGGAGAAATCCATTGTGACTATCAAAAACCAATATATGTGGCTGTATTCGCATCGTTCTAATGCTGAAGGCTATAAAAAGTTCTTGTGCAACGGAAAGCAATAAGCAGCTCCTGATAAATCAAGAGAATACAAGAAAGAAAAAAAATGGTATGCGTAATATAAAAATTTCCAGTTCTAACCTTCAGCAAAGATTTAGCAAAACTGGAGATATACTCCTTGCCGCTACTAAATCAAGAATTCATAGATAAATAGAAGAATGCCATGGAGCAAATGCCGCTGACCTTCTCAAGATGGCTACAAAATCTCCATTGGGTCCGACAAGAGCAACATCCGGAGAGACGCCGATTGCCTCCTTGGTATAATCGTCGATAGCTAGAACGATTGGCAGCGACATGTTAACAATCGATCCATCTGCCATCCTGATCGAATTAAAATGCAGGCACTGCAAGTACTCGTCCTCCCTCATAAACCCCCTCAGAGGACTCGCCCATCCCTCCGCCACCACATGCACCCACTCCAAATCCACCCTCCCGATCCTCACCGCCGGTAGAGCCGCAGCCTCCGCCCTCTTCGCCGCCCGCTCCTCCGGCTGAACCACTAGCTCAACCAGCTCTCCACCGTCCGGCTCGATTAGCGAGCTCCTCACTACGGCTGCGGACTTCGCCGAATCACGCGGGACGATCGCAGCCGCCATGCGAAGAGGGTTGGAGTGGTAAAGAGGGTTGAGAAGCAGTGATCTTCGAAGAAACCCTAGAGTTCGACTGTCTTGCCTCGTCTGAGCGGCGGCGGAAGAGGCAAGGTGAGGCATTCGCGGGAGAAGAATTTGAGCTTTGGGTATATAGAGAGCCATCGAATGGAACCGCGACGGCTCTAAACCGGGGAACGGTAACGGACCCTTTTTTTAATATTTCTCGTTCAGGGGAGATCACCACGTTTGTTTTTTAGGTGTCTTTTTGTGGTACTCGTTTATTGAGATTTGGTCCGTCGGATGGGAATTGGACGGTGGATCTCACCATAATACCTTTGTCTCAATTAGAAAGATTAACGAAGAAATCATTTACGCACAGCTGTTGTTGAATAGCAAAATCTTACGATTTTGAGACATTGGATTTGCTTCAAGATTGATGAAATATTAAGGTGTTTATAATCAGCACGACGCTTGAGGTAAATCGATGGTCAAATTCATAAAAGGCTTCTGGAAGCCTATTCTGACTGGTAGAGTGGTACGTATGATCAGATAGAAATTTATTACTTTATTATTTTTTTTTTAAATAAATATTACTTTATTGGATATAATAATTGAGAGAGAATACGAATGTTCTTCGGAAATTGACCGTCCGATGGTTGTCACGACATCAATGTTTGCATCTGTCCCAATATCATGAATATATTCATTCATTTATAAGAACTTTACATCTCCGGTAGTAATTTTTTTTATTTTTCCATTAAAAAAAATTATTAATATAGTGATATATATCATCATGATAAAGGTAAAGAGTTTTATGTTTTAGTTTTCACTTGGGACGAAATTTTTTATTACTTTTTAAAACAAATTTTTATTTAAAATTTTAATTTTGTACTAAAAAGATATTTTAAGAAGCAGTAAGAAAGCGGTCTCAAATGAAGTCTTAGGCTTCGTTTGGGACGGCTTTTTTATTGATTTTTAAAACGGAGTTTTAGTACTTTTTTTTATTTTTTTATTAAAACTCCGTTTTATAAAGCAATAAAAAAACTGTCCCAAACGATGCCTTAGTTTTTCATGAGATTTATACATGTATAAATAAATGAGAAGAATAAATGGGATGTTAAGTTTTTTATTTGAAAAAGCTAAGAACAGAAAAAAAAATTATAAGGTTAAGATCTTTTATTTTCCACTAGAATGGGATGTTAAGTTTAGTAATTATAATATATTACATATTTAAAGTAATAAGATCTTTTATTTTCCTACAATTGGAATAGAAGGGACAAAAAAATTGTGAGCACTTAGCCTCTTCTTATTGTAACAAAAATTTAGGGAGAAGTAGCGGGAAGAAGATGATGGAAGGCCGCTAATTTTGATCTGATAATGATCACTAGACGAAAGTGGTTAGACGACGATGGTTTGACGATGAAGATTGGATGATGACTATCGAATGATGTGGTATTAAATTTCATAGCAATCAAGTGATCATATACCGATGCTAGCAATGGATAGCGGTGATCATCATAATCAAATGTTAGGTAGAGCTTTAGAGTTATTTAGATCTATGTTATCTCTCCAAGCCCAAGTCCAGTTCCCTTTTATATCAAGAATGAGGGTCTATTTATAGTATTTTGAGAGTGTGAATTTAGATTAATTCAATAAAAAATTTATATAACTCAATTATATGACTCATATCAAATCCTTTGATAATATATTATTTATTCACCGTTTAATATTTAATACATTCGTGACTTTATAATTGAAAGATCTTCGGCTTATTGGATTCATCTCGTCAAGCTACTGGATATGAATATAATCATGTAAAATTTAGAGATCATCTAATATTTCAATCAATGCTCTAAGGTTTTTAATCTTAGTTTATTTCTTTCAGTTGGGATCATTTGGACTTGGATCAAATCACTTTTGATATCATTGGGTTCATCTTATCAAGTTGTTCAGTTTGACTCTAAATTTATTAAAATTTTAGTACAAATAATTTTGAATTTAATTTTTAAAAAAATTAATAGAAATGGTGTATCAATTTAATGGCAAACAAGTGCAGAGGAATCAACTATTATGATCAAAGTGCTATGAATCATAGAAGCAAAGGGGCCGAGGAATGTCACCATCAAGAGGTGGTTTGCTATTAATCATGGCACCGAGCTACTGCAAACCAAGAATATAGTGAATTGCTATCACCCCTCAAGTTGGCAATCCAAAAGGAGAATGTTAACTTGCTAGATGATGATAGCATGTGGCTAATGGACACTTGGTAAATATGTCATCTATCTGATCTTGAGTATTGATGTGACGCACTTGAATCTACTTTGCCTGAATGTGATCTCAAATGAAATGATAGTTGAATTAAATGCATTTGATGTGAGTGTCGAAAACAAAATTGTTGGCAAGAGCCACAGTAAAGACATTATCACAAAAAAATTGGATTGTTGGGTTTGTTGTGATATTGGATTACTAAATTAAGAGGAGTTCAGTACTTATATATGTTTTGGTTGTGGCTAGTGTCTTATATTCAACTATAGTAGAGGACTGGGCAACTAGGGCTTGCTTCTTCACACTCAAAGAGACAAGGGTGTCAACAAGATGGACTTCAATCTAGGATGCTTCCTGTCCAATTTAAATCAAAATATGAGTAAGAGGTGAGGTTGTCACAAGTGATCAGTAAGCCATAAGATTACATCCCTTTGAGATAACGAAGTGGACATTTAATGAGCTTAAAATGACTGTTTTGTTGAGCATGCCTATGTTGGCCAGTTTGATTTATTGTAAATGAAAGATATGGTCTAATAGTTATGAGATACTAAAGTGATTAGACTAGTTGACAATACAACTTTGGATATGCAACCACCTATTACGATAGTGAATTTGAGGTTTGTATAGAGGAAACAAGAGTACTAATTTCCAACTTCCCCCCTTGCACTTTGTAGTATTTTTGTAAGGCATTTCGTAGATCATAAACATAATACAGATGTTCAGAGTCAATAAAACCCGTCAGTTGATTCATGAATATGAGATCACCAAGCCGGCCATAAGGGAATTCGTTTGAATCCAACTATGAAACTTGCCAATTGTGTCGAACATAAATAATCATGAGAATACAAATAGCCGACATCGTGGCAACAAATCTGAACATTTCATTATAATCAATTCCTTGTTGAGCAATTTTTGACAGAGTTTTACTTCATTTTATACTGTCACCTATTGTCAAGCATGTTATGGTCTCTGTGAAGGAGGAACAAGTCTCTAAGTACATTTTTATTGTATATATAGTAGGAAATGCTATTGAGATCGCTTTATGCCTTTGTTGATGCTTAACAACTTAGAGTGGAGTAAACGGTGGAGTTAGTTGTTGAGCTCCTCACAATTCGTTTTGAGCATCAGCTCACAATACTTCAAATTAAGGGTATGTTTGGAACAATTTTTTTGTTGTTTTTCTGTTCAGACAACAACTACAATTCTTATCTGGGTGCTGCTTTCTCAATATTTTTAAAAAATTTTTTCTATGATCATAGTGCTAACGTTATTTTTTCTTCAGTAACTTCACAAGCAATTTTATAAAAAGTTACAGTCATATCAAACAAATCCTAAATCGTTATTATGCATTATATCAAGTTTCTATCTAACATGGATTCAAGACATCCTCCATCCATTTTGAGGGGGAGTATTAGGCTTTGTTTGGGATGACTTTCATACTGCCACTTAAAGTAGCTTTTTAGTACAAAAATTAAAAATTTATACCAAAAAATTGCTTTAAGAAGCAATATGAAAGTCGTACTAAACGAAATCTTGATTAATTAAATTTAGAACCATATATATTTCACCTTTACCGTGCCATTATGCACATACAATTAGTATTATTTCTTGCATTTTAACACCCATCATCTTGCCTAACCTCCACCTGTGTAATATATATATATACGTTGCACTTTGGCATTTTCTTGGAGGTTTTGAGTTAACATATCTTCCCATCCATTTCGAGTCTCCTTTCGGGTTTCTTCTTCCACATTTTCATCATTGACTTCACGGCAACCCTAAAGAATTCAAAAGTCATGGCCAAAATGACCAATGCCGATTACCACTATTAACTACAATTGCGTAGCCACCATCTTCGAAATACTATCGCTCTATTGTCATTATCTGACTATCATTATCTAATCATCACCATTTTATTATCATCAGTCGACATTGTAGCCCGACAACTGTTACCTTAACACTACCTTATTGTTTTCACAAGATTGTCGTCGTTCGATCGCCATCACTTGACATTCATGGTTCGACCATTATCTGTTGATCGTCATTACCCTCTACTACTCTTATAATCTTAGCTGTAAGCATACGAAATCAAACTAATATTTCTAATTTTATAACATTATCTACTCCATCTAAAAGTAAGAATAGACTCCTAGTATTTTACTTATATAGAAAAACATTTGTTCACTTTTGTAATTTACATATAAAATCTTAGGATATCCTCCAAGGGAAAAAACCTTTTTTTTTTTTTCACTTCAAAATTTAATAACAATCATATCAAACTATAATTCATCTGAAAATGGTCAGGAAGGAGGCAAGAAATAAATCGAGCAGCCATAGCTTGGACATTTCGTCGTTTGGCGCTCGAAGAGAGATGAACGTCAAATAATACGCTAAGGCTTAAGCTTAAATGCCCTGAGGATAAAATTGTAAATTTGTTAGGTAATTATTTGGGGCGGCAGGAGCAGCCGGGCAGGCCACGGGCTGCCGCGGTTTGGAAATCGGGTTGAAACGGTTCATTTTTAGGTTTCTCGGGTTGACCCGAACCGAACACAAAATTTCATACGGGTCAAAAACCTGAACCCGAACCTGACCCGTTTCAGGTCCAGGTTGACCCTAACCCTAAATTTTCGGGCAGGGTTCGGGTCGTGTCAAATATTGACAGGCCTAGTTATACCGACATATTTATGAACACGATAATATTAAATTCATAAAATCGTGTGCATTATTTAATTTATTTTAACTAATTTACCTTTATAAAAAATATATTTAAAATTAAAGACCTTACTATTTTATTTATGTAAATTATTAATAAGGATGTATATATTTTTAAGAAATTAATAAAGCATGTATATATTAAATAATTTCTTATGTAGTTAATAATGCATTATAAGAAATTAGCTAACTAGATTAAATTTTTATGTTATTTGTATATTTACATTGTAATAAAATA